AACTCCTGGGCCCAAGCAATTCTCCCACCTCAGCCTCCCAAAGTGCTAAGATTATAGCCATATCTCTCTATATATATAGGTATATATTTTGTTGTTGTTGTTGTTGTTGCTAGACAGAGTCGCTCTCTGTCACCCAGGCTGGAATACAGTAGCACAGTGGCACGGTCTTGGCTCACTGCAACCTCTGCCTCCCAGGTTCAAGCGATTCCCCTGCCTCAGCCTCCCAAGTAGCTGGGATTACAGGCGCCTGCCACCACGCCCGGCTAATTTTTTGTATTTTTAGTAGAGGCGGGGTTTCACCGTGTTAGCCAGGATGGTCTCAATCTCCTGACCTCGTGAGTGATCCGCCAACTCGGTCTCCCAAAGTGCTCAGATTATAGGCGTGAGCCACCACGCCCGGCAGGCCTGGCCATATTTTTAAATATTTTTTTTAAGGAGGCAAAAGGATCCATGAAGGTAAAGTGCCTACGGCCCATCAATGTCAGATGTAAGAACACTCCCTGAGCACAAGACATGGAGGAACCCAGTCTCCAGTGTCACAAACAGGCCTGCCCAGCAGGGTCTGCCCCCGCCCACCCCCTGCAGCCCCGGTAACATCACAACGCCCTGCCCTAGTGCTGACAGCGTGGGAGGGGCCACTGCTGGCCCAGCCCCACCCCCAACCAATATCCCTTTGCCAGGGATTACAGAGGTAGCCCTGATGCCTGGCCTGGCCTGGCTTCCCAATCCAAGGCCCGCCCCTTGGCCCGCCCCGGCCTGGGCGGGGTGACCCCCTACAAAAGCTCAGAATTTCCAGCAGCCGCTCCTTCCTCCAGGAGTCACTGGTGCTGCTGGGGTAGAATCTAGCCAGGCCCTGCTTAGGCCCCCATCCTGGGGTCAGGAAATTTGGAGGATGAGGCCCTTCAGCCCCAAGGTCAGCAGGGACGAGCGGGCAGACTGGCGGGTGTACAGGAGGGCTGGGTTGACCTGTCCTTGGTCACTGAGGCCATTGGATCTTCCTCCAATGGCTGCCAGGATTTCTGGTGGAAGAGACAGGAAGGACCGCTTGGTGGGGTCAGCCTGGGGGCTGAGGGCCTGGCTGTCAGCCACTCTTCCCAGAACAGATGTCATGGCCTCAGTGGCTCATGGGGAAGCAGGGGTAGGCGAGCTTAGGCTAGAGCAAGTCCTGTGGGAGATGGCAGAGGCCTGGTCAGAGAGGCAACTCGGATGTGCCCTCCAGTGGCCATACTCGCCTCCATGCGTCTCCTCTGCCCTCCCGGAGCCCTGCAGGTCAATGTTTAACAGAAACCAGAGCAGCGGTGGATTAATGTGCAAGGGCTCAGCCCCCTAGCCCTGAGCAGTGGGGGATGAGAGACTTTGCAACCTGTTCTCAGCTCTGCCTCCCCTGGCCAGGTTGTCCTCGACCACTCCCGTGCCATGGCAGCCCACCTGCTTCCCATCTGCACCCTCTTCCTGACCTTACTTGATATGGCCCAAGGCTCTAGGGGCCCCTTGCTACCCAACCGGCCCTTCGCCACCGTCTGGAATGCAAACACCCAGTGGTGCTTGGAGAGGCACAGCGTGGACGTGGATGTCAGTATCTTCGATGTGGTAGCCAACCCAGGGCAGACCTTCCGTGGCCCTGACATGACAATTTTCTATAGCTCTCAGCTGGGCACCTATCCCTACTACACGCCCACTGGGGAGCCTGTGTTTGGTGGTCTGCCCCAGAATGCCAGCCTGATTGCCCACCTGGCCCGCACATTCCAGGACATCCTGGCTGCCATACCTGCTCCTGACTTCTCAGGGCTGGCAGTCATCGACTGGGAGGCATGGCGCCCACGCTGGGCCTTCAACTGGGACACCAAGGACATTTACCGGCAGCGCTCACGGGCTCTGGTACAGGCACAGCACCCTGATTGGCCAGTTACTCAGGTGGAGGCAGTAGCCCAGGACCAGTTCCAGGGAGCTGCACGGGCCTGGATGGCAGGCACCCTCCAGCTGGGGCGGGCACTGCGTCCTCGTGGCCTCTGGGGCTTCTATGGCTTCCCTGACTGCTACAACTATGACTTTCTAAGCCCTAACTACACCGGCCAGTGCCCATCAGGCATCCGTGCCCAAAATGACCAGCTAGGGTGGCTGTGGGGCCAGAGTCGTGCCCTCTACCCCAGCATCTACATGCCCGCAGTGCTGGAGGGCACAGGGAAGTCACAGATGTATGTGCAGCACCGTGTGGCTGAGGCATTCCGTGTGGCTGTGGCTGCTGGTGACCCCAATCTGCCAGTGCTGCCCTATGTCCAGATCTTCTATGACATGACAAACCACTTTCTGCCCCTGGTAAGTCTTCTGTAACCTGCCCACCTTGTCAACCTGCCTTGTCAGATATTAGGTCCAGCCTTGGGGTACTTTAGCCTTGGGACATTTTCTTTTTTTCTTTTTTTTTTTTTTTT